GGCCCTCCGTCGGGCAAACCTGTTTCCCCGGGTGCGTGTCGTGGATCATGTCTCGCGGCGCACCTGGGACCAGGGGGCTTGCCTTAATCGGCCGGCCCAAGAGGAAGGAAAACCTCAGAAAAAACCCTGAATTTTGCGTGGTGTTGGGGCGTCTTCGGACCTCTGCGCGGCACTGCGCCCCCGCTTGCCCGCAGGGTGAGTGGGTGGTCCGGCAGTAACCGGGCCAGCTAGCGGCCAACCTCTGGCGACCGCCCGACCGCCAGTTGTATTAGGGTTACCCGGGTACAGGGCTCTGCCCGGGTGGACTTTGCATTTCCCTTAAAACCAAAGAAATGCCGTTGCGCCTTGTAGCGAGGCGCAACATTTGTCTTATGATACCGAAGTAATGGAAGGAGAAAAACAAAACACAAATACAAAAACTTATAGTAGTAGGGAGAAGGAGGAAGAGGAGAAGGAGAAAAGAGGAGGAGTAGAAGAAGGGCGAGCGCTGAGGGTGGCGTTGACAAGATTGTCGGCGTCAGCCTTGGCTAGGGCTAGCCGCAGTACGAGGTCCTCCAGGGCCTCGTTAAATCTGTCCGACTCGGATTCGGACTTAGCCAGCGTGTCGTCCGCTGGCTCAGTCCCTCCGGTCGGAGACCTGGAGTCGAGCCGCTTCTGGCGCCAGAAGCGGAAACGACCCAAAGAGGGGGAGAAATCGCCAGAAGAGGGGTCTTCCACAGACACCCCTCTCTCTGTGGCGAAGAGAGGGTCCGCTGAAAAGCGACCCAGGGGCCGCCCGCCAACCACTGGCGAGTACGTCGGGTTGGCGGCCGCCAAAAAGGCCTTGAATAAGGCCAAGAGGGAGGAGATCCGGCTCCAGGCGGAGGCTGAGTTAGCGGCCTCTGTCTCGGAGGCCCGATCTACGCGGCCTTCCTCTGTGGCGTCGCTCGCATGGGACGAGGGGGACATAATGGGCACTTGTGTCCCCATGCCTCGTTCCGCCGTCGATGCCATAAAGGGCATTGACGAGAGTCTGGGTGTGATCCAGAGCGTGGCGAAGAAGTCCGGGAGTTTGAAGGGGACCTTCGTCCGCGCCCTCAATGACGCGGTCGCGTCCATTCGGGAGAACTCTGCTCTCCTCATCCATCTCCTCGTCGAGTGGATGGCCGCGCACAACCTGGCGCTCGTGAACCGGGGCTCGACGCAGACGTGCGTCCGAATGCAGGGGGGGTCCATAGTGGACCTTACCTTTGCCAGCCCCGGGCTTGCGCGCCGCATCGTCGACTGGGAGGTGTTGGACGGGGAGGAGACGCTGTCTGATCACCGTTACATACGGTTCAGTGTCTCCTCTCAATCCACGGCGATCGGGCCTGGCGCCCCTCCGGCGCAGAAGGGCCCTCGTTGGGCCCTGAAGTCCCTGGACAGGGAGATGGTGGAGGTGGCCTCGATAGTGGCCACCTGGTGTCCAGAGCCGGAGTCCTCTTCGGTGAGGGAGGAGGTGGAGTGGTTCGGGGCGGCCTTGGAGCGTATCTGTGACGCTTCAATGGCTCGGTCCCGACCTCTTCCGCCGCGTAGGCAGGTGTACTGGTGGTCGGAGGAGTTGGCCGCTCTTCGGTCAACTTGTGTGATGACCCGACGCCAGTACACCAGGTACAGGAGGAGACGGCGTGCCTCGCGGAACACCGAAGAGGAAAGGCGCCTCTATTGCCTCTATCAGGAGGCAAAGAAGGCCCTCAGGATGAAGATCGCGGAGGCGAAGGAAAGGGCGTGGGAGGAGCTCCTGAACACCTTGGAGCTCGACCCATGGGGGCGGCCGTACAAGCTCGTAATGAGCAAGCTGCGCCCCTGGGCCCCACCCCTTACATCCAGCATGGAGCCGGCACTTCTGAACTCAGTCGTGTCGGCCTTGTTTCCCCATGCGGATGCTTCGCTTCCCTCCCAGTCGACGTCCCCTCCCCCGGACGCGGGGGTCCCGGACGTGACATCGGCCGAGCTCAGCTCGGCCTTGGACAGGACGCGAGGCAAGAGGACGGCTCCCGGCCCTGATGGGGTACACGGGAAAGTTCTGTCCCTTGCCTTGCAATTCGGCCTCGACGAGCGGTTCCGCAAGCTGTTGTCGGCTTGTCTGCGGAACCGCGTCTTCCCGGACTTGTGGAAGGAGGGAAGGCTGGTCCTTTGTGCCGAATTTGTGCCGAATAATGCCGAATCTTGGCGGCTCGAGCGAGGGGTGTCGCCGCTTGTACGCCGGCGTTGTGCGCTCCAAGGCGCTCTATGGCTGCCCCATATGGGCCCAGGATTTGTCGGCGCAGAACCTTGCGCTGCTGAGGCAGTCGCAGCGGGTGATGGCGCTCAGGGTGGCGAGGGCGTACCGCACCGTGTCCTATGACGCGGTGTGCGCAATAGCCGGGCTCGCACCCTGGCACCTGGAGGCGGCTGCCTTAGCCGACATTTACTGGCGCCGGGCTGAAGTCCGGAGTCGAGGCGAGGAGCTCACTTACGAGCTCCTCAAGGATTGGAGGGAGGACGGCCAAAGGGCTGTTGTTGCGCGGTGGCAAGAGCATCTTGCCACCTCCCGGGTAGGCGCGCAGACGCTTCGAGCGATCGCGCCCGTCCTGCCCGAGTGGCTGAGGACGAAGCGGTGGGGATCCCTGTCCTACCACGCGGTGCAGATTTTGTCGGGGCACGGGTGCTTCGGCAAATACCTGCACGGGATCCGGCGGGAGGAAACAGTCTCCTGCCATCACTGCGGATGCGCCTCAGACACGGCGCAACACACCTTGGAGGCATGCCCGGCCTGGGCGAGTCAGAGGACTGCCCTGGCCGGAGCATTCGGCGCGGATCTGTCCCTGCCAGCCATTGTGGCAGGGATAGTTAGGAGCGCGGATGACGCTCCGTGGCGGGCCTTTGAGGCCTTCTGCGCCGACGTCCTCTCGCAAAAGGAGGAAGCGGAGAGGGCGAGGGAGATTGCTCCCGACGCCCCCGCACTCCGACGGAGGAGACTTGGGCGGCGCCGGCGCGATTACGCCCGGCGCCAGCCGTGACCTCGGTCTTAGGACCGAGCCAGGAGACGTGGCCATCAACCGGCCACGTAGGGCGAGCCGCGCGCGGGAAACACGCGCGGCAGGACACACGGGCGCGGGCATGCGGGTCAAGGGCAACTAACCGCTCGCTCGCGTCCGGCAAGTCTCCCGTGGGCTCTTGGAGGTTTAGTGGGTAGTGGTCAAGCTGGCCGACCCCCACACTCCCCCCGCCACTTAAGTGGCCAGGCGGGGGCGTCGGTAAAGAGTCGATTCCTCCAAGTAAAAAAAAAAAAAAAAAAGAAGTTAGGTTCCCCCCCCATGATCCAGGCCTTGTCGCGGCGGGGGGGCTCAGTAGTCGGTGCTTATTATAGTGGCCAGGTGCCTAATCGGCAACAGACTGTCTGTGGGTCTGCCGATTCTGGCCACTATTGCACGACGAAGCTAATTGGATCCATCGGTCGGTCTCCGAAGACGACGCGGAGACCGATCACGGAGACGCAGCGCTCACCTCAGAGCGCTGCGAGCGTGCCTCCGAGCACGGTTGTTGGGGTCTGTTGAGACCAGTGGCCTTCATGGCGCAGTATGGTGGTGGAGTCACCACGGACGGCGGTGGTGGTGGACCGCGGCGCGGCGGGCCGGGCGTGGCGATGTGCTGCGCCTGGTTAGGGGTTTCGGCCCTCCGTCGGGCAAACCTGTTCCCCCGGGTGCGTGTCGTGGATCATGTCTCGCGGCGCACCTGGGACCAGGGGGCTTGCCTTAATCGGCCGGCCCAAGAGGAAGGAAAACCTCAGAAAAAACCCTGAATTTTGTGTGGTGTTGGGGCGTCTACGGACCTCTGCGCGGCACCACGCCCCCGCTTGCCCGCAGGGTGAGTGGGTGGTCCGGCAGTAACCGGGCCAGCTAGCGGCCAACCTCTGGCGACCGCCCGACCGCCAGTTGTATTAGGGTTACCCGGGTACAGGGCTCTGCCCGGGTGGACTTAGCATTTCCCTTAAAACAAAAGAAATGCCGTTGCGCCTTGTAGCGAGGCGCAACATTTAAAACATGAATTTTGAGGAATGGAAGGTGAAAAACAAAATAAAAACAAAAAACGTAGTGGGAGTGAAGAGGAAGGAGGAAAAGAGGAAGAAGTGGGAGTGAGGAGAGGGCCCAGGGTGGTGCTGACAAGATTGTCGGCGTCATCCTTGTCAAGGGCCAGTAGAAGTGCGGGGTCCTCCAGGGCCTCGCTCAATTTATCCGATACGGATTCCGACCTTGTCAGCGTGTCGTCCGCTGCCTCGGTCGGTCCGGTCGGAGAGTCGGAGTCGAGCCGCTTCTGGCGCCAGAAGCGGAAACGACCCAAAGAGGGAGAGAAATCGCCAGAAGAGGGGTCTTCCACAGACACCCCTCTCTCTGTTGCGAAGAAGGCCGCAGGAAAGCGACCAAGGGGACGTCCGCCAACCACTGGCGAGTACGTCGGGTTGGCGGCCGCGAAAAAGGCCCTTAATGAGGCCCGAAAGGAGGAGGTCCGGCTCCAGGCAGAGGCTGAGCTCATGGCTTCTGTCTCGGAAGCCCGATCGACGCGGCCTTCTTCTGTGGCGTCGCTCGCGTGGGACGAGGGAGACATGGCAGGCACCTGTGTCTCCGCGCCTCGTTCCGCCTCGGACGCTCTTAGGGGCATCGAGGAGAGTTTGGGCGTGATTCAGAGCGTGGCAAAGGGGTCCCGGAACCTCAAGGGGACCTTTGTCCGCGCTCTGGGGGATGCGGTGGCGTCCATCAGGGAGAACTCGTCCGTCCTCATCCAGAGGACAGTTAGTGAGGAGACGAGGGCTCTGCGCGCCGAAAACCAGCGGCTCCGGGAGCAGCTGGAGCAATTGGCGCGCCAGGTGGAGGACCTGCAGAAGTCCTCTCGGCTCCCCAACAGCATGGAGGAGTTTGAGGCGGGGCTTCTGCGGAAGATAGGGGAACGCATCAACGCGAGGTTCGAAGGACTCGAGCCTCGGTTGAACCCCGCGCCCAGACTCAGGCCGCCATTGGCGGCAGACGGAAGAGGCAGGGACCTTCCTGCGGCCGCTGCGGCGGCGAAGAAGAAGGGACCAAAGGGTCCAGGTAGGGTGGTTCCGTCCACTTCTGCCGCGACCCGCTCTTCCGTCCCCGATGCCCCCGTCCGAGGGCGATCCCCGGCGAGGCTGCCGAACCCGGACTCCCTGGAGGGAAGCTGGGTCACGGTGGCCAGGAAGAAGAAGCCGGCTCGCAAGGAGGCGCCCCGGGAGTTGCCGACGCGAACACGAGCTCGGCAAGCTCCTGCGGCGAAGGACAAGGAGGTGCGGTCGCGTCCGAGGAGGGGGGCCGGGAAGGCATCCGGCCCTCAACCGGCTAAGAAGCCGAAACTTCGGGTTCCTCGGTCGTCGGCTGTCGTCCTGACGGTCACTGAGGAGGGGTCCAAGGAGGGACTCTCCTACAGTGACGTCCTCCGGAAGGCCAGGGAGAAGTTGGACCTCAAGGCTATCACAGGCCTTGAGGGTCTAAAGGTCAGAAAGGCGGCGACTGGAGCCACCATTCTCCAGCTCCCCGGAGCCGCGAGTAGCTCAAAGGCGGATGCTCTCGCGAGCAAGCTCGGGGAGATCTTCGACAGCGGAGTCGTCAAGGTGACGCGGCCGCAGAAAGCGGTCGACGTCAGGCTCTCGGGCCTGGATGACTCCGTCACAAAGGAGGAGGTGGCGGCTGCTGTCGCCAAAAAGGGAGAGTGTTCTCCCTGGCAGGTGCGAGTCGGCGACATCCGGCGGGATCGCACGGGGCTTGGCGCCCTTTGGGCGCATGTCCCCGTTGGCTCCGCAAAGAAGCTGCTGGAGGGCAGACTTTTGGTGGGTTGGGTGGCGGCGAGAGTAACTCTGGGAAAACCCAGGGCGCTTCGCTGCTACCGTTGCCTGGAGGCTGGCCATGTGGCGAGCCGTTGCGATTGCGCGAGCGATCGTAGCGGTCTTTGCTACAGGTGCGGTCAGCCTGGGCACTTGGCGGCCTCGTGTTCGGCCAGCCCGCATTGCGCGGTTTGCGCAGCGGCTGGCAAAGAGGCAAACCATCGGGTGGGTGGTGCCAAGTGCTCGGCCCCCACCAAAAAGATGCGGCGGAGAGTCCCGGAGAAGCGGGCCGCCGTCCCTCCGAGCGGGACCGCGATGGAGGTTGCCGAGACCGTAGGGGCCTAGTATGGCCCTACGGTTCCTCCAGGCGAACCTGAATCATTGCGCCAGGGCCCAGGATCTTCTATTCCAGGGCCTGGCGCAGTGGTCCATAAACATCGCGGTGATTGCGGAGCCATACGCGGTGCAGCAAGGGGACAATTGGGTCGGGGACATTGGCGAAACTGTCGCCATTGTCGTCACCGGAGCCGGTGGCTCTCCCCCAATTGTCTCTTCACGGAGAGGCCAGGGTTGTGCTGCAGTGAAGTGCGGCCACATCACGGTTGTGGGGGTCTACTTCTCGCCCAACAGGACTCTCTCGGAGTTCGAGGGGTTCCTGGCGGAAGTGGATGCCCTTGTGCAGTGGAGTCGCCCGAATGAGGTGGTCGTGGCGGGGGACTTCAATGCCAAATCGGCAGTGTGGGGTTCCCCAACCTCGGATGTTCGTGGCGACGTCCTTGTGGAGTGGATGGCCGCGCACAACCTGGCGCTCGTGAACCGGGGCTCGACGCAGACGTGCGTCCGCATGCAGGGGGGGTCCATAGTGGACCTTACCTTTGCCAGCCCCGGGCTTGCACGCCGCATCGTCGACTGGGAGGTGTTGGACGGGGAGGAGACGCTGTCTGATCACCGTTACATACGGTTCAGTGTCTCCTCTCAATCCACGGCGATCGGGCCTGGCGCCCCTCCGGCGCAGAGGGGCCCTCGTTGGGCCCTGAAGTCTCTGGACAGGGAGATGGTGGAGGTGGCCTCGATAGTGGCCACCTGGTGTCCAGAGCCGGAGTCTTCTTCGGTGAGGGAGGAGGTGGAGTGGTTCGGGGCGGCCTTGGAGCGTATCTGTGACGCTTCAATGGCTCGGTCCCGACCTCTTCCGCCGCGTAGGCAGGTGTACTGGTGGTCGGAGGAGTTGGCCGCACTTCGGTCAACTTGTGTGGTGGCCCGACGCCAGTACACCAGGTACAGGAGGAGACGGCGTGCCTCGCGGAACACCGAAGAGGAAGGGCGCCTCTATTGCCTCTATCAGGAGGCAAAGAAGGCCCTGAGGATGAAGATCGCGGAGGCGAAGGAAAGGGCGTGGGAGGAGCTCCTGAGCACCTTGGAGCTAGACCCATGGGGGCGGCCGTACAAGCTCGTAATGAGCAAGCTGCGCCCCTGGGCCCCACCCCTGACATCCAGCATGGAGCCGGCACTTCTGAACTCAGTCGTGTCGGCCTTGTTTCCCCATGCGGATGCTTCGCTTCCCCTCCCAGTCGACGCCACCCCCGGACGTGACATCGGCCGAGCTCAGCTCGGCCTTGGACAGGACGCGAGGCAAGAGGACGGCTCCCGGCCCTGATGGGGTGCACGGGAGGGTGCTGTCTCTTGCCTTGCAATTCGGCCTCGACGAGCGGTTCCGCAAGCTGTTGTCGGCTTGTCTGCGGAACCGTGTCTTTCCGGACTTGTGGAAGGAGGGAAGGCTGGTTCTTCTCCAGAAGCCTGGCAAACCGCCGGACTCGCCTTCGGCGTATCGGCCGATCGTGCTGCTGGACGAAGCGGGTAAGCTCTTTGAGCGTATAATAGCAACCCGCATCCAGCAGCACTTGGCTCTGGAGGGGCCAGACCTATCCGATTGCCAGTTTGGCTTTCGGAAGGGGCGGTCGACAATCGACGCGATCGCGAGATTGCGCGATGTGTCAGACGGGACTGTGGCGGAGGGCGGGGTTGTTTTGGCGGTGTCGCTGGACATTGCCAACGCGTTCAACACCCTGCCCTGGGACGCGATTATGGATGGGCTTCGCTACCATGGCGTGCCTGTCTATCTTCGCGACGTGATTGCGTCGTATCTCACGGCGAGACGCATCACGTTCCCCAGGAGACACGGATGGGGTTCCCACCCCGTCAGGTGCGGTGTGCCGCAGGGATCGGTGTTGGGTCCACTGCTGTGGAACATCGGCTACGACGGGGTCCTGCGTTGCTCTCTGATCACGGGTGTCAGCGTCATCTGTTACGCGGATGACACCCTGGTGGTTGCGAGGGGCGACGATTTCCGCGAGGCCAAGCTTCGCGCCACGGCCGGGGTGGCACAGGTCGTGGCGCGGATCCAGAGGATTGGCCTGCGAGTCGCCCTGAACAAATCAGAGGCGATCGCATTCCACGGTCCCAGGAGGACGCCGCCGAGCGGGGCGCAAATCATCGTCGGCGGAGAGGCCATCGAGATAGGGTCCACCCTAAAGTATTTGGGGTTGGTTCTCGACTCTCGGTGGTCCTTTAAGGCGCACTTTGCGGCACTTGCCCCGAAGCTCGCCGCCACGGCATCGGCCTTGTGCCGAATTATGCCGAACCTTGGCGGCTCGGGCGAGGGGTGTCGCCGCTTGTACGCCGGCGTTGTGCGCTCCAAGGCGCTCTATGGCTGCCCCATTTGGGCCCAGGATTTGTCGGCGCAGAACCTTGCGCTGCTGAGGCAGTCGCAACGGGTGATGGCGCTCAGGGTGGCGAGGGCGTACCGCACCGTATCTTATGATGCGGTGTGCGCGATAGCCGGGCTCGCACCCTGGCACCTGGAGGCGGCTGCTTTGGCCGACATTTACTGGCGCCGGGCTCTAGTCCGGAGTCGAGGCGAGGAGCTCACTCATGAGCTCCTCAAGGATTGGAGGGAGGACGGCCAAAGGGTTGTCGTTGCGCGGTGGCAAGATCATCTTGCCACCTCTCGGGTAGGCGCGCATACGCTTCAAGCGATCGCGCCCGTCCTGCCCGAATGGCTGAGGACGAAGCGGTGGGGATCCTTGTCCTATCACGCGGTGCAGATTTTGTCGGGGCACGGATGCTTCGGCAAATACCTGCACAGGATCCGGCGGGAGGAAACAGACTCCTGCCATCACTGCGGATGCGCCTCAGACACGGCGCAACACACCTTGGAGGCATGCCCGGCCTGGGCAAGTCAGAGGACTGCCCTGGCCGGAGCTTTCGGCGCGGATCTATCCCTGCCCGCCATTGTGGCAGGGATAGTTAGGAGCGCGGACGACGCTCCGTGGCAGGCCTTTAAGGCCTTCTGCGCCGACGTCCTCTCGCGAAAGGAGGAAGCGGAGAGGGCGAGGGAGATTGCTCCCGACGCCCCCGCTCTCCGACGGAGGAGACTTGGGCGGCGCCGGCGCGATTACGCCCGGCGTCCGCCGTGACCTCGGTCTCAGGACCGAGCCAGGAGACGTGGCCATCAACCCCGTGGTCTCCCGTGGGCTCTTGGAGGTTTAGTGGGTAGTGGTCAAGCTGGCCGACCCCCACACTCCCCCCGCCACTCGATGTGGCCAGGCGGGGGCGTCGGTAAAGAGTCGATTCCTCCAAGTAAAAAAAAAAAAAAAAAAAAGGTTAGGTTAGGTTAGGTTAGGTTAGGTTAGGTTAGGTTAGGTTAGGTTTTTTTTTTTTTTTTTTTTTTTTTCCTACTAGGCCTACCCCCCGGACGAAGTTATCTCCGGGCCGTGGAATATCTAAGCTAATGATTTTTCTTTTTTAAAATGTTTTCTCATATGTTTCTTATTCTAACTTACAGGCTAATCAATTCTTTATTAGTGTATTTGTTCTCAAATTTCTTATTCTAGTTGTACAAGCTAATTATTTTTTTTTTTTTTTACTAAAACATTCGTTTACAAATTTCTTATTCTAGAGATAACATTACAATTCTTATTACTATTTACTATTATTTCTACTAATTCCCACACACATATATATCCACATTAATTTATATACATACATATTTCTATTCTTTATTTATTCCGCTTTTTGCTTTACAAATTTCTTATTCTATACAATACGATACAATCAACTTTAATTTTACTTATTACTATTTACCAATACTAGTTTTGCGCACTTATTTATATACATATTTAAACCTTTTTATTTATTCCGTTTATTTACTATTTTTACTATTTGCTTACAGAATTGTAGCAAAGGAGGCCTCATCCCGTCGTCCATCATGATTATTTTTAAGTTACTTTCTGTCATGTCAATGTCAAGTCGGTTTTCCAGTTTGTGTCTTTCTAAGGCGTGGATTGGGCAGCGAACCAACAAATGGGGCACCGTTTCATCCTCGTCTCCACACGCACAAACGGGGCTGTCCTTACGTTTGAACCTGTGGAGATATGCGGCTAAACCACCATGCCCCGTTAAAACCTGTGTTGTTTCGCCGTCCAATGCCACCCTTTTTATGACCCTGCAGGCGGCTGCCGCTGTTGGGAGGAAGGTTAGGTTAGGTTAGGTTAGGTTAGGTTAGGTTAGGTTAGGTTAGGTTAGGTTAGGTTTTTTTTTTTTTTTTTTTTTGTGTTTGGGTCCTACTAAGCCTACCATCCCCGGCAGCATTGCTCCGGGGCCGAGGAGGAGAGAGAACCCGAAGACTTTAGAAACGGCGCTTATGGTTTACGCCAGAATTCTCGGGATGTGTGTATGTGTGTGTACTTTTATTGGTGTATAGACTCGCAAACAGGGTTTTTATTAAGATTACAATATGTTCTTAATACTAACTTATAACTAATTTTTATTTACAATGGTTGACTTAAATTAGATTAGCCTAGGTATTATTAAATGCTTTAAGGTTATTAACAATATTTTCTATATGTTTAATGAATAAATCTGTTGTTTCACATTTCTTTATTACTTTGGTTAAAAACAAAGGTTGTTGTACGTCAATTTTAAAATTATTACAAGAAATATAGAAATCTAAACGGGTGTTACTAAATCGTGGACAGAAGAATATTAGATGATCAAATGTTTGTTTCTCAGCACTATCACAAGGGCAGAGATCGTCGGGCGTTATGTTGAATCTATGAAGGTAAGATTTATTGAAGGAGTGATTGGTAAGAAATTGAGTTATGGCAAAAGAGGGTTTAATAACAGAGAGGAATGCGGAGAGGTCATCAAATGTCGGAAGGTATTTTTTAGTATGACAAGAGGTAAGGGGTTGTTCGTAGAATGATTTTCTAGAGTCCATAAGTGAGTCGCGTAAACGGAGTTTAATGTGGGAAATAGGGGTGTGGATAAAGTCAGGTGATTTATGAAGGGAGGCAGCAGATTTCGCAGCAATGTCAGCGATCTCATTGCCAGCTATGCCTATGTGTGCCTTGACCCATGCGAAGCCGACATTAATATTACTAGACGATAAAGTATGTAGGAGGTGAAAGATGTTAACGGCAAAAGTATTATATGAATATGGGTTTGATAATTCTTGTAAAGAAGATTTACTGTCTGAGAAAATGATACAGGAGTTAATGTTATTACTATTGGAGGCAATCCACTCGCATGCTTTGTGGATTGCAAGCATTTCAGCTTGAAATACAGAACAGGAGGGGTGTAATTTAAATTTTTTAGTGACGTAAACTTCGCATGGATCAAATGCCACAAATGCCGCGCCAACAACGCCATCGTGTTTACTGCCATCTGTGAATATATGGTAGGAATAATTTATACTAAGGGATGAAAATTCCTCCATCGAGCTTATCTCGGTGAAGGTAATAGGGGTACGAAGGGACGGATGTAATAGAGACGACGGGGGAGAGGGTTTTTCTAGTGGAATATCAGAGGGAAGGAAAGAGGAGTAACCAAGGTGTTTAGAGGTTTCGATGGTGGCGACGGACTTTATCTTTTCAGGGAGAGGGATAAGTTGAGCTAAAGAAATAGAAGTAATAGTGCTGAGAGTGCGGAAACCATGAACTATCTTAATAGCAAATAAACGTTGTAGTGATAAGAATTTTTTAGCTATGAATTTATATTTTAATGAATTAGACCAGATGTTAGCGGCGTAACAGATAATAGGAATAATTACTTGCTCGTAAATAGTGCGTATGTTATCGGAATGGATGCCCCAAGTGGGCCGAGTAAATAATAATAATTTATGAAACAATTTCTTAGCTTTTTCGATGATATACGTTGAATGCAAAGTGAATTTAAACTTATTATCTATGATTATGCCTAAATACTTAAAACTACTTACAAATTCTAACTGTACATTATTCGGTTAGGTTAGGTTAGGTTAGGTTAGGTTAGGTTAGGTTAGGTTAGGTTAGGTTAGGTTAGGTTAGGTTAGGTTAGGTTAGGTTAGGTTAGGTTAGGTTAGGTTAGGTTAGGTTAGGTTTTTTTTTTTTTTTTTTTTTTTTTTTTCCTGACTACTGGCCTACCTCCCCGACCATAGTTAAATGTCGGGCCGTGGATTAAGCTGTTTATTTCCATCATTTCTTTCATTCTCTCAGTCTTTCTTCATCTTAAATAAGTATGACTCATTTATATTTTTATTGTTTTCTTTTGTGGACAGTTCGGATTTACTATTTTGTTTATGTATTTTATTTTTATCTTTTGATTACATCGTTATCTTATATTAACTTAATTTATACATTTGTACTTTCTTATAACTTTATTAATACATTTTTACTTTTGTTAATCTAGTTATAGACATAATATTCTTTGCTCTAGGTAGTAGTAATACTTTATGGGGACGTTGATATTATATATGGTGAGGCAATTACAGTTGTATATTGTTTGCTATGCTTACTTTCTATTTCGATACCGTGTCTTGTGTGTTTGTTTTAGCGCTTGCAACTGTGTTTTGTTACTCATGAAATAATTGTACTATTTCTGGGCAAGAATTTTAATGTATCTGTAAGTGTGGAGTTGATTATATTGTGTGTATGTGTTACAATGTTTCGCGCTTTGCCGTCAATATTAAATAATATTGTTAGGTAAGGGTCGATGCCATGTATCAAAATGTGCTTGTGTGTGTATGTTTTATGCATGAATGTGTGTTCCTATATGAGTGTGTTTGATATTATCATAATGAATGACCTTTACAATTAAAGGTATTACATTTGTTTAATGCTGTATGTAATTGATGTTGTGT